AATAACTTCTGTGTAATCCGATTTGCAAATGCCTAAAATAACTTCTGTGTAATCCGATTTGCAAATGTGTAAAAATAAATTCTGTGTAATCCGATTTGCAAATGAGTAATAAATCCACAAATATGTATTCAGATCTACAAATGTAGCCGAGATCTACATATGTGTAGATAAGTCTTTAAACATACACTTAAAGGTATAGTGGAGGATTTTTCGCGAATGTTTTTAAAAGACCCGCCCTTTCCGCTTTAAAAAAAAAAATGCACATGCACAACCCAGTACCCACTCCTAACAGGGAATGCCTATTAAATGAGTGCGAGAGCGTGCACGAGCCCATTTCTCCTTGTGCACGCTCTTTTTAAAAGTTGCTGTTTGCATCGCTCATATAAGCTTAGTTTCCAAAAGAAGGTTTGCAATTTTTCCACTAAGTCAGACTCACCACCGCTAAGTGAAAATGGGGATGAGCACGTAGGACGGCCTTACGTAAACGTATCACTGGAATAATTGACAATTAGGAGGACCACTTATTTTGATGATCCACCCAGCAAAATAACATATGCCACTGTACCTTTAAATCTGAGGCAACAAAATACAACACACACAAATCGAGATACAGACACACAACTCTCTGCACACCTTTGAAAATATTGCAACGATAATGCCCCCATATGGTACTATCATTCAGAGGGAAATGACTGAGTACCAGCAGCCAGAGGTGGGTAGTAGCTAGTTACATTGATTAGAGTACGTTTTTAAACAAAATGAGGTTTAATTTAGGGTAGCATGTGATTAATTAATACCACTGTTCCTTTGTTAATAGATGGTCCTTGATTCAATTTCCAGTCTTGTTTATATGTACTCCCTATGCATGTCTTGGTTCTCTCTGAGTACTCTGGCTTCCTCCTAAAATGAAACCCCGTCAGCTTGAGCCTAAATGGAACTTCCAAATTGTCATTAGTTGTGTGCATGGGTGTCTTTCTGTGACTGACATCACTGAATAAAAACAGGTTTGTTCCAACTAAATACATTCTAACTATATATATGTTTTATTCTATTATTTTCAAATATTAATCAGTTGCTATGACCACTTCCTCACTAAGTAGCCGTTTTTTTTGTTTGTTTTTTTTTTAACCAAATTCTTGTTTACTGTGTAATTTATTGATTGGCTACTTTTTTATTTTTACTTAAGTTAAAAAAATTGTTGAAGTTGTAATACTAGCATTCTGAGAAAAAATATTTAGTCAAATGAAAAAAAAAATGTATGTCCGTCTTACTGTTTGCCTTTGTTTCCATGTTCTCCCCAAGGGTTGAATTAGTATGTCTGAAATGAAGACACAGTGACTGATACTAAGAACAGATTTTGGCTGCTCTGTCTTCTTCTGCCTGCAGCAAAGTTAAAGACAAATGAAAGCAGGCGGATTCACACACGGGTAAAAATATATTGCAAGAAAGAGAAACTGTAGAGCACAGGGCAAATTTACTTTGTGTATTTAAATTGTTGGATAAATATTTAAAAAATGTATTGCCTTTTTATATTTGTACATGAAATAAACATAAAAGTTAAAGAAATTAGACAACTGCGCAAACAATAGCAGGATCAACCTTTGTATCCTTCTTTATAGAATATAATTTATAAGCCTAAGAGCTGCGGGGAAGAGGGATCAATGATAACGCCTTTTTTGTGCCCTCTGGATGCAGCAGTCTGATTCTGTTCAAACTTTGATTTCTTTACCTTTTGACGACTATAGCTTAGAGTTAATAATACAATATAATTCTGATGCACTTCTCCAGGAATTACTACACTGGTCTTTGTGTGTGGGGGTCTTGAAGTCCTGACTCCAGCTAAAGGCCACGGCTTATGAAGAGCCTTTGCTTAAAAAAACGTGGTTGCAGTTATTAATCTTGCATGTGTATCTTTTTGAAATAGCTGTTTCTGCCTGACCCCTAAAATACATAAAAGTGATATTCGATTAATTTTTAAATGAATTGACTTATGTAATTCTGATAAATTAATAGTGAACTTTATAATCGAGTTCCAATATTTTATATTTAAATCATGTATCGGATATATAGTTGTTGTTACACCTAAATATTTCATTATACATTTATTTATTGCATGGTGTATTTTGGCCCTACATATACCAGAAGGATCACATCATGATTGTATAAATCATCTCCTGACTTTCACTGTGTGAACCTCTAAGACCAACATGTCAGTAATTTCAAGCTAGAACTGTAACAGAAATGATTGAAACATGGCACACTGTGAAATTATTTCACAAAACTTTTAACTTCAAGTGAATCACTTAAATATATGAATAATTAAATTATAACTTAAAGTGCTGAGGTTCAACCATGGTTGGAGGAAACTACTATGTTGATTAAAGTGGCATTTGTTTCATATAAATAAAAAATATTGAAAACAAAAATCTTAAAATTGCAAAAAAGTTTGCCTCCTCCTTTCAACTAGAACGTTTACATAATTATATACAATCAAAGTCACATTTTGGCTTTAAAAAAAAAATCAATGTTTTAAATGAGCCCACAAAACATAGTTGTGCCAAAATGCACATCGATTTCTGGTTTATTGTCCCTCATTTAAATTTTGATTTTTAATCTGCATTTATAAAGGTGGTAGCATTTGAGATTCTGCTCCAACACCTCAAATTGTCCCCTGCTGATCTCAGATCAGGTCATGATGAAGGTAGAGCTCTAAGAGGGTAACCCAGACATCCCTCTGGGTGATTCCAGTAAAATCCCAGGCCAGATGGGAACAATCTGCACAAGACAATCAAATACCCTTCAAATTGAGTAAAGTATGAAGATCATAAAAGTTATATATATGCTCTCCATCTCTTCAAGTTGAATTTACCTGTAGTCGACATATAACACTCCATGAGGGCAACTTACAACTAAGTTTCTCAAAAATGTTAAATAGTTTATTTAAAAAAAAAAAAAAAAAGCACACACACACACACACACATAAAATGCAAGTGAAAGAAAACGATACAATCATTCATACAAAATATCATTTTAGGGTAAGAAAAAAAAAAACACCCAAAAAACGTTCATCCATTTTGTTAAACAACATGTGAACAACATGTGAAATCAAAGTTAAAGGTCCAAAGCATCTAGGTGTGGAAAATGTCGTGTTCCAGTTTAATGAAACATATTTTCGAAAAACCCTGTGCTGGTTTGAATTATTGGCACCCTGAAAATGTAACCCTTCATGTTTGAAAACATTCAGTAAAAGAACAATTCAACCCTTTTTGTGTAAAACAGGATAAACAAAACATTTCAAAATAGTAATTAAAAAAAAGGAGCAAAAAAAACCAAACAGAATTGTTAGTTTTCCTTCACTGATTAGGTTAATCAGAACTTAGCTGAAAGCAAACCTAAGAGATTAAAAAAAGAGACACATGGATATTGATTTTATTGTATTATTACTACATAGTTTGGGATGTTGGGTTCAGTTCTGATAACAGATGAAAAAATAACCTGTTGGAGAAATCTGGAACACTTGTTTGGGTCTGAAGCTAGTGCTGCAGAAAGAACCAAACAGGTTTGATGATACATCCAAAAAAATATAATAATAATAATAATACAATTATAATAATAAAAATGAAGGACTGCTGCTTCAAAAACATTTTTAACCAATAAGCAGCTGTTATTTGAAAGAAACAATTTGAAGGCTGAGGTAGATTTTCCTAAAATCAGGTGGTCTGGGCCTCTGCTAAAGAAGGGGGAATAGTTATCCTCTAGTGAACATGAAGTTTTAACTCACTCGACTTAATTCATAACAAAAAAAAAAGGGTCTTAAATACTACAAGACAAATAATTTCACACAAAAATACTAACAGAAACATTTTCCTTAGAGCTACTGTCTTAATGTAAAATACAAGCAGCAGTCGTACAAAAGGATCCAATTTCAAGCAGATGGGTATAAAATGTCTACAAGAAAACTTTTATATAGGAGGTTCTGTAATCAAATCATGCTGATATTTGAAATGCCTTAAAAAAATAAAGAGCATATCGCAGAGCCAATAATTCTAACCGGAGAAGAAACTTGTCCCAGAGCCCATCTGATCTTGGTTCATCTCTTTTCCGCCATCAGGAAGCGTTAAGCAGGATCCTGAGCCATAACTGAGCTCCCTAGAGGGTCCTGTGTTACAGGAATGGACTTCTCTCTATCTTCCTGAACGTCCTCTTCTTTTTCAAGCTTTAAACTTGTGATGACACTCATGGAGATCACCCCTAAAGACAATAAACAAAAAGAGGAAACAGTTTTTACATAATGTCCGTCTCCCGGCTAGGGATTTCCCTTTAAAATCTGTAGAAAATCTAATATATTAGAACTATATTAGAAGACAATAAGTACACAGTATATTCGTCAGTGCTGTTTGCTTCTCAGTGTCTGTGCACATTTTGAGCGGCAGGAAAGGTGCGTCTGAGCAGCTGAAGCAGCGCATTATGAGCTTCTGACGGACGCAGAAGCCAGGTACTTACTTGTTTCCTTTTGTATTGAATTTTCTGTCCCATAGTTGAAACTATTCTCTTTTTCTGCAGACTTTTTAAAGTTTTCCAGCTAAAACAAAGAAATAAAAAAAAAAATTTTTTTTAAACACACTTGAGCTCTATGTTTTGTTTTCTTTAAAACCTACTTTTACCTCTGTACATATAGAGTCTGACAGTGTGCTGGAGATTGGACTGCTGTTGGCATATCTGAAGAAGCTGAAAGAACATAAGTGAAGACATCAATGATCCTTGTAAAGTTTATGCACTGATTCTTCTATTACGATCCTTACCTTGGAGTGTTTGATAATGTTGGCTCACAATCATTTGTTCCTTCTTGGCTCTATTAAACAAGAGAAGATGTTTTCACATGATGATTGGAATACATTTGATCAGTAAAGATAAAGCTCCTACCTTTTGAGTGCTGCTGTGAGGTTTGGAGGAACAGGACTTTTTTGCTTCGGAATTTTGCTTTCCAGTTTCTTTACGCCGATTTTTCTTGACATAATCATATGTGCTCATGCCTTTATAAACTGTGAAACCACCAGAATAACAGAGGGATGGAGAAATGGTGAGGATTCCTGACAGGTGCAGGGAGGAAGACAGTATCCAAAGAAACAATCACTTACACAGGTAAAGGTGAAATCCCAGCAAATGAATGAGTAGGATCAGACAGGCAGTGCAGAGCATGATCGTTATGAAGGCTAATGTAAGGAGACCTGCTGAACTTGTCTTTATGGGAGCTACTGGTAAAAACAACAACCATGTTGTATTACCCAGGGATGCTATAGAAAGAAACAAGTACATGGTTATAACACGTCAATGATCATGCCGCTAACATGCACGAGATGTTAAACTAACCGTCAAACTGTGGCGCTGTCCGTAAAACATGTGGATCCAGGTAATGTTGAATAAATATGAACAAGATGATGACAGTGATCATAAATCCTGCTAGGATGGCAGAGATGAGTGCCCCAAAGAAGAACCTAAAACAAAATAGAAACATTTTTTTATAAAGCATGACCAGCTGTTGATCTAGAAAATAAAGCTCTAGAAATTAGCAATTTATCCAGCTTGTAGCCTCACCAGTAGTTCCTCTGACCAACGCAGGTGTTTAGCCATTTGCAATGATGATCAAAGCCTTCCACACATTTGTTGCAAACTCCACAGTGTTTGACTTTGGGGCCCCTACGAGAAAATGACTAACTTGTTAACATTCACTTAATACTCCCTGGAAATGAAAATATTAGATTGAAAGTGATTTTTCCAATATGTCAATATTATGTTTTGAATGTTTAGCTTCTGTATATTTGCTCCCACTGGGATTATTGTGGTTTTTAAAGCTGCTCAACTTTTCTTCAAAAATATCTCCAATCTCAACCGTCCTGGACTGCAAAATGCAAAAAGAAGAATTTCCTATTATCTGCAGCCTAGAATGATCAGCAATCTGGGATCTGCATATTGGTGCACTGGTGCTAAATATTGTTGCTATAGCTACAGTCCAGGACAGCTAAGGTGGATCCATAATGGTTGAAAAATACTTAATTCAGTTTATTTATTAATAGCGCCAATTCACAATTCAATAGCGCCAATTCACAACACATGTCATCTCAAGGCACTTTACAGTTCACCATATCATACAGTCAAATTGATTCAAAGTTTTCTATCTAAGGAAAACCACCTGATTGCATTGACTCATTGACTCTGATGCAATCCCTCACAGTAAGCATGCTTGTAGCGACAGTGGAGAGGAAAAACTCCCTTTAACAGGAAGAAACCTCCAGCAGAACCAGGCTCAGTGTGAGCGGCCATCTGCTGAGGCCGACTGGGGTTCAAGGAGACAGAAGCAGAGACGCAAAAAGCAGCTGTAAAAGGCGGCCACGTCCAGGAAACACACAACCAGGCAGACAAGCCCTGAGCCAACTCTCATGTTAGAAAAGTAAGTACATAAATGAGAATGACAATTTTATAGAGGTATTTCTAGAGAGCAAAATCAAACACCCAATGCTGCGCAAAAATACATATCAAGAGTATCAAGAGAAACTTAAACCAACCCAATAGGTAAAGGCTTCCCATTTAGTTTAGTTAAAAAGTTATGATTACAAAAAAATAAATAAATAAAAAAACTGAGCATATATAAACAGATTTTATTTAACCAAGAAAACAGAAACCAACAGAAAAGTCAAGCTATGGAGTACAGTATAGTGTAGATGCATTCAATTAGAAAACTGCTGACTGGGATACTTACACGTTGACATCACACAGGTAACAGTGAAGGTCCTGGATGACATGAGCTCGTTTTGCCCGGTCAAACAAAGGCAAAGGTGTGGAATAATCATTTTTAGCCCGAACACTCGCATCTGCAGGATCTATAGTCACGGTAGCTATGTTAGTGAAAAAATGTATTAGAAATGATATTCCAGAAATCTGAGAATAATAGCAGTTAAGGAAGCTAGCAATATTGTCAGAGGATTGCAGCAATATATCAAAAAACAAAATACACAGATTTTGACATGTATTTAACAAATTACTGAAGTTCATTCTGTGTTTCCAATGGGCAGGCAGAGGGGACACAAGAAATGATACAAGGAATGGCACAAGCTAGAAAAAAGGTATGAGAAAAAGATATGTCAAAGGGAAACCTGAAAAAAAGGGAAATAAAATAAAGAATAATAATAATAAAAGTTATATGTAAGAAGGACAGATTGAAGAAACAAGGGAAAAAAGATAGGGGGATCACAAGTATAGGGGCAGAAAAAAGAAAAGTGGAAAAATGAAAAGGAGAAAGAAGACATTACTTTGTCATCTCCTTATTTTATTTGTCCATACATACAGAGATATGGAAGAAATATTTTCTATGTTTCTTTTTGTCCTCTTTTCTTTTTATAACAGTTCTCAAATCATCTCTATAATGTATAAACATGAGTGCGGGGGAAAGGAGTGTCTCGAGTTCTATGAGGAAGGTCAATAAAAGGTGTTGCAGTAAATAACAGATATATAAAAATATCTACTTATCAGTGATCACACACTATATTGGCTAAATTTACTTAAAATGCATGTTTCTAAATGCTTATCATAAACATATTCAGCATTATAACTGCTTTTGATGATTAAATAAATAGTAAACAAAAGTCTAAAACTAGCTAAAACAAGGAAACACCTTTGCAAGATTGGAAAATATAACATACATCCAGCTGGAGCTTTCTTGGACTCGCCTTTTTGTGTGTTATCAGTATTAATAATTCAGTCATCAATACCGCATAAAAAACAAAAAGTGAGATGTCTTTTGATAAAAGTATCCTTGTTTAGATAAACTGTATCCTTGTTTAGATAGTTTAGTTTGTATAAGATTACAGATTGTTGTGAATCAGGATAAACAGCATCTGTACTGGAATGGGGCTGGGGAGGAAGCCCAGATGTCGGTCACAGAGCCGTTACTCTTATAAATAAAAATGAGCGTGTCAGCCTTATTTTCAGCGTAATGGTGACGGTATGATGAAGTGTAACGGCCTCCTATGCTGAAATATGCTTATAACAGCCTTGGCGATGAACCTTTTGTTGAGCGTTGAGTCAGGGGCCTAGTGAGCAAACGTGACAAAGCTTGAGTACTGACAGAGCACCTATGCGTTCACAAGGATGACACAACTGCAAAACCTTTTTGGGTCTTGGTAAATTTCTTAACAGATAAACTCTTTTTATTCAAGATTCAGAAAAAAATGTAAAGAGCATTAAAGAATAGCCAAAGGAAATGATGACCTACTACATCATAAAGTAAGAATCTTCATTTCCAGTTCATCAGTACCATTGTCCTACACTTTTTAGATGTGGCTGGGCTTTAAAACAACCACTTCCAATAGTCAGGTCATTCAAATATATAAAAAATATCTCTTTTAAGACTGATCCATGGAAAAAAATCTATCAAAATCATAATAGCTGTAGCCCTTAATGAGTAAGAAGGCACCACTACTGCAGAGTTAGCGAAACAGTCGGCGAACATCAGCACTTCCATGGCCTTACGGTCTTTGAGTAAAATGATCTAGTGTGTTGACATCATGCAGCGTTCAGCATCACCTAACAAAAAGACCACTGAACATGCCATTGCAGCATGACAGCGAGCACAGAAAAACAGACAGTCATGTTTTGTATGACTTAAGGCTATACAAACAGGCTACACAACAAAATCCTTGTTTTGCTTTTCCCTAGCAGCCCAACCGAACTCTTAGCCGAGCCTAACATTTGTTGAATATTCAAATAACAGAGACCCACAGCTGCAGCGACAGCATTAAGGATACAGTGTAGCTCACAGCCTTCCACGGCCGAGGCAGGAGAGGGATATAAATCCCAAAGGTGACTACAGTGAGGTAGATGTACACCAGCCAACCAACCACCTGTAAGGGCTGAGGAGGCCACGACCAGCCATTGATCCTGGGGGTCTTGGAAGGGACCAGTTCACTTTTACTGCTGCCATGTGCAGGAACTGTGCGTCTCAACCTCCGACCAAAGCAGTTCATCTGGAGAGGAGAATAACAGCAGGCTTGTAGTATATATATACACACACACACTATTCTACAGCAGAGTATAAGCCTATTTGCTGGGGAAATGAGTTAGGAAAATGAGCTGATGATAAGGACAGCGACAGTTCAACTAGTGACCAATGGAGCTGTGCCCAGTGCCTGCTACTTTGGCTATTAGAGGAATGGATGACACACTAGCCCATGTTCAGCTTATATGGGAATAAAAAGAACGGAAACCAACATAAATATGTAATGTACAATTAAAGACATATCAATGATGTGTATTCTTTCACAGAAATAGAGAAAAAAAAAATTGTTTTTTTTTCTCCCCCTTTTCAAGCGTTTATTGTCATTACACTGTCACAAGTATAGAGCAACAAAATGAACACTCTGTATTTAACCCATCCCCTTGGGGAGCAGTGGGTTTGCCATTGTGCAGCGACAGTGGAGCAGTGTGGGGTAAAGGGCCACTCTGCCACTCTGGTTCAGGGACCCAGAGTGGCTGTCTGTGGAAGTGGGGCTCAAACTCAGAACCTAAGGATTCCAAGCTCTATGCCCTAACCACTAGGTCATCACTCCCCCAATATCTGGAGGTCCGTGTTCAGATTCAGGACAGAAATATTAGAGAGGCAGCAATCAGAAGCCCGGGATGGGAGCTGATTCTTGCTGCTAAGAAAAATCCACAAATATCTAAATGTTTTCCAACATTTCAGAAAAAGCCAATCTGCCCAACTGAGGAAACGTCATGCAGGGCACACAGTTTAACAGATAGTTAAATAGCCTGGGATCACAGACCAGCTGTAGAAAAATAACTGTTCCTTAGAATATTCCTTTATTGTTCTTCTGAGCGAAATATCAGGTGCAGCGTGAAGTAAAAGAAAAATGATCCATGGATTCTTTTTACTCCATGTCTAAGAATGCTTTTGTCTGCAAAGTATTGTATCACAAATGATGAGTATTAGAATTTCTGACTAATATCTAAAGGCCTCTAAGATATGATGCTCTAAGGGGCCTTGATCAAATAGGAATTTTGCAAATTCTTTTAAACAGCAAATTCCTTGATGCACCATCAGCATGTACTGCAGGAGCATGCATTTGGGGTTAATGAATACATAGGCTTGGGTTTAAAAGGTCTTTCAAGTAACAGACCATGCAACAGCGGTTTGAATTTCAAAAATCACTGTGATGCTCGTAATTATGGCTTTAAATCTTTGACAGTGGAATGCTGGTATCCCAGTCTGTGATAGTTATCTTTACAAACCACTGAAATGTTTTATATCCATCCATCTTCTGTCACGCTTCATTCCTGCTGGGGTCGGAAGGGGTTCCTTAACTGGTGCCTATCTGCAGCTGTCTACGGGCGAGAGGCAGGGTGCACCCTAGACAGGTCGCCAGTCTATCACAGGACAACACAGGACACAAAACATTCTTGCACACACTCACACCTAAGGAGAATCTAGAGAAGCCAATTAACCTAAGTCTTTTGGACTGTGGGAGGAAGCCGGAGTACCCAGAGAGAACCCACGCATGCTCAGGGAGAAGATGCAAACTCCATGAAGGAAGACCCCAGGCTGGGAATTGTACTCGGAACCATGTTGCTGCAAGGCAGCAGCGCTACCCTCTATGCAAAAATAAAAAAATAGTTTTTTGTTTTTTTTAGCTTGTAAACACATCTAAAATTTAATTTTAATTTAAAAATGGTGAAAAAAACAAATAAAATATAATAAAATACAAGCAGAAACTGCTTCATGCTTTTGGTGATGTCATCAGAGGCATATCTGTGTGAAAGCTTATTTTTGGTGTGTGTGTGTGTGTGTTTGTTGGGGGGGTTGCTTATCTTGATTAATTTACAACAAAATTGCAAAACAAGCAAACCAACAACAGACTATCCAACAGTTAACAAGTAACATCATCTTTTATGGTATCCTGTGCATTTACTTTGAGAACTAACTGGAGGTTAAGTTTTAAGATAAAAACTGTATTTAAGAGAAGCAACAGAATCTACAATAAGGGATAATTGAGGAAGGCGTTCAGGAAACAGCTGGCCTAAAGAGTTGCACAAAAAAGTTAACGTCCCTCTTTCAGAAACCACGTGACCTTTCACCTCAAAGTCCTCAATAAAACTGCACAGATATATTTAGAAATGCATTTTAAACACATCCAGGTCAGACTATTTGTTAATCTTGTAAAAATTTCCCTATTCAAATATTCTGACCTTTTCCTTCACATATCCCCATCATCCAGGAACATTTGGGTTTTTTCCTCTGTTTGTCTGCAACTTTAATGTTTTTAACACAAACAACTTTGTTGAACCTCTCAAAAACATCCACCAACGCCAACAAAACACGCAATTATTCATTTAAATTTTAACTAGAATGTGTGACTTACCGTTTTCCGGGGAAAACCACCATAAAAAGTCCAGTTACAAACGCAAAAGGAGATTTCCACCGCATATCCTTGAGGTGTTTTTTTTTGTTTATTGGCTGAGCAGGTACGTCACGTCAGCAGTTTACGTTCACATTATGTGAAATCACACAGAATCGATTTTAAATACATTTATAAAAAAGAAAATTCAGATTCAACTGAAAGGTTTTTAAGCCCTTGCCTTGTAGGAAGAGCAGTCAAAAGTTAAAAACGCCTCCCTCAGCAGGTCTCAGGAGCGCTATGGTAACGTGCGTGGTGCGCATGCGCAGGGCGGCTCCTTTCATCAGCTCCATTTCTGTTGTTCTCTAATCCAAAACAGCTAAAGTGATCTTTTAACAGTATTTATTTTTTTGTTATACCTTATATCTTCGTTTCCCCTTAAAGGCACGAGGACATTTTCTGCTTTCAAAGTTTAAACTCGTTTATCATTTCAGTGCAATCTCTTTTCTAACAGGCATGCAAATATATGCAGCACAAACGGTTCCATGCTTTCACTTCCTTTAATTGATAGCCCACAAATGTAGCTTTTTTTATTTATTTATTTAAAGCCTTTAATATGATTAAACTTGACGTCATTCAAGCGTCTCTACATCTGCTTTCTTTACTGTAAATAAACTATATTTATCTGTGTACCAGTAACACCCTGCATGTTACTTTACTTTAGCACAACACAGATGCATAGAAATAATTCATGACAACATACATACATAGCAAGTATTTATTCTCAAAGGGCTGCCTTGTTACAAAAACATATAAACACAATACAGTCTGTACACCAATGCTCAGTCTTAAAGAAATGTGAAGAACCATCTGCCACAGTGGTCTTTCATTAGTAGAGAACTCATAACAGATGGTCTGTGTGGGTGATCAGCTGTTGGCGGAGCCCTCTGGCTCTGGAGACTGCAGGAACTCGTACGGATCGTGAACCATTTCCGAATGGTCTCCAACACCCAGGTGAGATGGACTCCCTGTGGATGCAGGAATATTAACTTCCAAAACAACTAACGAATTTATGTTGCATGTCTTGTAAATACCTAAGTGGTGTTGGTCTCTTTCAGAAGCGTTTGAAAGCGAGGAGAGGTTGGATGAGGGTCGGGAGCAAACTCTTTCAACCTGAGCCTCCTGGAACTCCTGGAGGAGTTTATCAGCGTCATCATAGTGCTGGTGGCCTTCTTCATTCCCTGGCTCCTTTTTGACACTTTTACCTGTTGATGTAAAGGTGAGAGGAGGTTTAAATCCACAAGGAAAAGAGGCTACATGTGGAGGATGTTAATCATGAAGAGGACATTTTACTGCCGTTTGTTGAAACTAATGAAATGCTAGCACAGATCAGGCTTTTTCTACCTGGTATCATTTTTTTATTTTCTGTTATGTAAACCAGTTAGCCCCAACCCCCGGGTCCCTGTCTGGTAGGGGTCCATTTAGGTGTCAATTGGTTCAGGGCTGGACAAAAAGAATAAATAACTTTCATTATTTCCAACTGATTTATTTTCTGAGCCTGAATGGTGTTACATTCTGACTCACTGTTGACGTATGTCAGCCACGACACCGAAAAACAAGTGAAACCTCCCGCTTTAAACACCCCAACGTCTCATTGCAGCAAAACAAGCTCAGGGCTCCCACTAATTCACTGCTATTTTGACTAGTTAATAGACTGTTTCTTTATGCACATTGTTTTTGTGGTGCCTTATTTTAAAACAAATAGTGACCAGAGAGTACTATAGCTAAAGATCGGGTTATCCCAGAAAATATTGTCAAACATTAAACCAGTCTGTAGCGTTAAAAAAAGATTGGTTACCACGGATCTAAACTACCTATTCTCTTGTTTGTTTCACAAACATAATACATTGCAGGTTCTCTGATGAAGGCAGAAATTTTGTATCCAACAAAAATTAAGGCATTACAGATTTATCCAAACTCACACTCTGGATATTTTTCTAATTTTCATTATACCTAAAAAAAAAATAAATAAATAAAAGATTCAAGATGCAGGCCTATGGACCACAGGTTTAACTGGCTTAAGAGATAAAATAAAACACAAAAAATTGAAAGGCCTGCGGACCATTGATCCGAGTCAATTTGTGGGGATCCTGATTGCACATCCTCTTTGTTTGCTTCTCACACCTCCGCCTAAAGCAGTAACTTTGGTGTTGGGTTAATTTACCAGAACGGTTCAACAATCTCTGTGACTACTTCAAACCTCACCATCCACCCTCCCGCACTCTGACATCCACCGTCAGCAATACGAAACAACCCCAACTTTCTGTTCCTCTCCACTCCACGTGGCTTTAGTTTGACCGCTTAAACATGCTCTTTTCCAGCTTTCTGAATCCAGAGGTGTAGCTTTTTACCAACTCACAGAGATGGTCTGCATTGGTATGGAGCGAACGCGTACAAAAGCAGAGGATGTGGAATCCGGGTGTAACTCCCCCACTGCTGCTGCCTCTCATCTTTTCCAGCTCAAATCATTAGATAATGTTTACAAAAATACTATTTTGCTAACCTCTGTGATTTGGATAGATTAGGACGCCGACACTGCTGCACATGTGACTACATTAACAGATTATTGAAGAAAAATACTCACCTAAAGGGTTGAGCATAGAAATATCTAGGGACATATCTGGGTAGTTCTTCATTGATATGAAGTCCATCACTGAGCTGCTTTCGCCAAGGCCGGTGCTGTCTGACATCTGGATAACAACATTTAAAAAAAAAAAGTTTTAGTCAGATATTTCATATTCTAAGAGAACATCTATGAGAGACCGATGAGTATGAAGATACCTGCATGTCACAGATGTTTGACTTGTTTTCATCAGGTATCAACATTATGTTTCTTTTCTGCAATATAAAATATGTTTTACACAGAAAGCAAACAAAGATCCAACAAAGCTGCCTGAAACAACATTTTTAAAGCAGCAGATTAAAAAGCACTGCACCTGTCGAATCTGACTGACAGCTTTTGAATGATCGCCTCCAGTCATCTTGTCCAGAAGTTCATCGACCCAACGCTTAGTGACACCTCCACAGCCCTTCACAAAGTCCTGTATGCTGATTAGAAAAAAAAAAAAAAGAAAAGAACAAGGCTGACTCTCACTGCAGACAGTATGAACTAAAAATGTCGATTATCACAGCTGGATTTGTTTCTCTCTACCTCAGAGCACACTGCACCCCCGTCTCATCTCCGTATGCTGAATACAGCATCTCCGTCTCGTCGGACTGCAGGTCTGGAAAGACTGAGTTTTTCTGAAGGCTCTGGATGTTGTAAGCGCTGCTCAGAAACGTAACTACACAAAAACAAACACTTAGGTTTGGACACTTGAATTTTTGATTCTAATAAATTATAAGATGAGACGAATACCCTGCATGATTAAAATTAACAAAAAAAGATGTACCTTTGTGTCTCCTGTCATCTTTGAACCCTAAAGTTGTTAGTCCTGGTAAAAGCTTGTTGGATAGAGAACTCAGATCCACTTTATGGGTCTCCTCTTCTGCAAAACAAACCAAAAGAGCTAATATTTAACTTCTCATCCACCCATCTCCAATCATATCATTGTAGATGCAATGTGTTCAAAAACACAGGGGTTTTAAACAACCATCTCAAATAAGAGCAAACCTTCAGCTTCAGGGTCAAGTTGGTTTACGACCGTATAGAGCAGAGTGCCGTCTGACTCTTTACGTAAATAACCCATCTGAAAACACAGAAAGATGTACGCTCTTCAAACAGCACAGTTTTAAGCCATCTCATATGGCGAGAGAAGTAGAGTTTATACAGACAACCGTTAGTTATGTGCTGCATAAACAAGAGCAAATGTGACCGACCTTGGAGCTCGGCATGTATCTGTTGATGCGATCACGGGCTTCATCTGCAGAATGCTCCACCAGAGCCAGAACATGTTCCTCTGCTGTGCTGTCAGTCAGGCTGCAAGCGTTTCCCTCTGGCTCAAACAGGTAGCTGAGGAGACAGATGTGATGCTGCTATACTGAAGATAGATTCACCGAACGTTTCAGCTCTTCTAATGGTCAGCGTGACATTACAGTTAGATGTAAACCAGGGGACTGACTTGATGTCTTTAGCCGGTTGTTTTCTGGACTTTTTCGCAGATTCCACAGGGAGGGGGATCGTTTCTGGAGGAGGGAGATCAGCGGTCAGGTCTTCGTCTCCTAAAATAGCTGCCTGCTGTGTGAAATCCATGTCCTGCATGAAGGACATGCTGCGCTTCAGGGCCAGGAGGCGATCCTGTACAAATAAAACAAAAGGCAAACAGTTGTTTTACTATATTTACTACCATTATAACACTGTATAATGATTTCATCCTTTTGTTTTCAAATCCCCGACTTTCTCATTCAAGTTTTTAAAAAATTGACCTGAAGTGTACATATTCCACACAATGTTGTCCTTTGCATCACTAACATTGCTTGAATGATCAAGATTTCTTTAAAACAATTCTGGTTGAATGTATTTATTTAAAATAAAATTAAGCTTAATCATTCATGTGAGGCCTCATATGTTTAATATGCAAACATACTATATACATACTGCATTCACCCCAGAAATATATAGATAATATTCAAGAGCAGTTCATTCAAAGCAAGTTTCAAGACACTTTATTTTTTTTAGCAATAGATGAGCGATCAGGTAGGATTTCAGAAATTTGTTCACTGCTACGGTAGCTTGTTAGGTCCAGAGAGGCCTAATTTTTAGAGACATGTTAAGAAACACTTGTGCTTTCTCAGTTGGGTGGAAATTATTACCTTACTCATCATTTTGAACCCTGTATGAAGTAGTTTCTTAGCAGCTTTGTAGTAGACAGTTTCTGGTCGGTTATACACCATGGCGTTGTCACACATCAGTTTAAAGTCCGCCTGAAGGTTAAAAGAAATCACATGGAGAAAACTTTGCATATGGCCTCATTTCTCTTGATGACACTCACAAACTAAATAGTCGCTGTTTTTCAAGGTCTGATCAGTGTATTGTCACCTTGAACTCAGTCACTGTGTTGTAGTCGTTATTCCTGATCTTGTCTTTCATCGTGCTGAAGTCCATGGGATGTTTGATGATAGACGAGTAACCGGGAGCGATTGCATCCGTCACTGGGAATGCAAAGAATCCATGGGGATCTTTCCTGAGAACAAATAAGCAACAGCAGAAGGTTTCTGACTTGGAAGAATGTCCCAACCGAAAGGCCTTGATCTTATCTTGTCCCAAATTCTGGAAGATCATTATAATAAATATAGACATGTTTTGTGAATTCTGTTCCGAAATGCAGATGTGTTTGGAATTGTTTTTTTTTTTAGAAGCAAGTCTAGTTTTTGACTTAATGAGAAGATGAAGATTTGGAGGATGTCACCCTTCATCTTCCCTAATCATCTTTTGTACAAAACAGCTTTATAACGAGCTGCTGCATTGTTTCTATCAGTCAACTAGTGTTCACCAAAAGCCAATGAGGCCCCTGATGGCAAAATAAGTACTGTGAGAATGAAACTGGATGTCGGAGGCAGCACTATTACACAGCACATTATTAAGCATATGTTGCTCTCAACAAATGCAAATTGATGCATTTTTATGCCCTTAATGAGGCTGTAAGGAAGTCCAAAACTCAAAATGGTCTGTCTCATTAGGAAAACATTAGGTTTCATCTTAGCTCATTTTAATCTGTTGTTAATATGCTTGGCAGATAATATGCTGAATGCAAACTGATACATTTGGAAAAAACAACAAGCTCAAAATAAAAAAAAAGTTTTTCTAACAGGAACTCATTGGTTTGTATGTTGACACTGTTTCCTCACTAAATGTTTGCATAGTTTGGGTTTCTGCTACATTGGAAATTCCTTCTACATGATAAGAACCTCTCACTATTATATATTCAGTCACGGCGTCATTCACACCTTCTTTCACCCTGGGTGAACTTTTGTTTCGCTTGATTTTATTAGAATTCAACCATAGCTCCCCTGGAGAGATATAAACTTTAGAGTACATGACTGTTTCTCACCTCTGCAGCTGCCTCAAAAAGTGTTCCAGCAGTTGTTGGCGAGGGGTTGACTCATTCTCTGCATCGACAAAAACAGAGAAATACTTTTAAGAAACTGATTTTCCCATGTATGAGGAACCCCTTCTGAAATTTGGATAAGGATTCCCTCCTGCCTTGTTGTGTGCGGCATGATCTAACAGGTCTGTCTCCTGGCTGCTCCACTTCCACCTTCACAGTGGGCTGAAACTCCTCCACTTCAGGTTCTAATTCGAACTTCTCTTTCTTCCTCTTTTTCTCCTCAGGCTGATAAGATAAAAACTTAATATACAGGGCTTCAAATAAATGATCATTAATCCTCCAAAAGGTTGGGTCATCTCACCTCTGAGCCTATGTTTATGCTTTTCGGCAGAGTAAATGGTTCAACAGGTGCCACACCAGCAGCTGCTGCCTCTAATTCGTTCTGCTCTCGCTCCCTCTTCTTCCTCTTCTCCTCCTGTTAAAATAAAACATACATTTTATCCAACAGCCAGTTGACGGACGGCGTGCTGTTCTGCTGCGTACTAACCTTCCTACGCCTTCTCTCCTCCTCGTCTACATACTTGTCTTTATCCTTCTCAGACTTCTTCTTCTTCTTTTTCTTCTTCTCTTTATGTCGCTCTCGCTCGTGGTCCGACCTGTCGTCATAGTCGAGCCCTGACCCAGAGAGCTCGGTCACCTCGCTTCCTCCTACTTTGAGCTTGATCTTGAGGGGCTTCTCAAGAGCCTTGTCCTCAAAGTCTACAACCAAATCAGGCGTTAATATGCAGGAAGAATGGGACCCAGAAATATCAATCTGTTCATTATAGTGAACTCTACACCACGCCTATAGAGAAGGCTAAGTCAATAAAAAAAAAATTAAATATACATAGTACTTCATTAAAGTTATGCTTTCTAATTAAGCTGAAGCAATGATATGACGTTTAACATAACTGTTCGAAGCTTTGAAAAACTAATCAAACCCTTTAACTTTCATATACTTAATATCAAACGTCACAATTTCCTATATTTATGTAGCAGGGATTTTATGGAAAAGCACAGAATTTTGAAATACATGTTTCTAATTAACTTATTATGGGGTTACTTCCATCATTGTATACCTGTATAACTAAGGTATTGATCAGCAACGATAGTTATTGCTTAGCATTTCAGTTTAATACGCAAGTATATAGTATTTTGTGTATAAGTACATTGAAGTTCGAAAGAACAGATAATTTCCAAAGTTTTTCATTTATTAGGTGAACTGAATAATCTACTCTGCTGTGTAATGTTGAATTAAATGTGAGTCTAACACCTTAGTAGTGCAATTGTTGTGTATTGCATCATTCAAATCAAAAACAGAACATTAAAAGTGAGAAATAAAACTATTTTTCTTACAACTTACAGCACATTCAAGGAGCAGTGATGATACCTGAAACTTATGTCAGTTTTATGCATAATTAGTATAACAAAGCAAATTGCCTATACAACATGAATTACAAAATACTTAGTTTCCTTTATGTACCTGCAGAAGTGTAAAAGATTGTATTAAAAAAAGCATAACTTTAATCACAACATCTCTGAAAAAACGATTATTGGTAGGTACACCAAGAAATACATTCAGTCGTTCGTTACTATAATAACTTTTATCCTATATTAAAAAGCAGTGCAGAAAATAATATACTGACGTGTTATCAAAATGTTTTGAAATATAACTTTTAATAATTACAATAATTATAGTACAATTTTTGTTCAGGTTTCAGACATTATAACCAAGATTACAGACTGCAAGTTTTTTCTTGCAGATGGTGTCTGCATGAAAAATATCATTGTAAACAACTGCAGCATCCCCAATTTTTGATAATAACAGAAGAGGGCTAATAAAAAGCTAGCTGCAACAAAAGCGTAACACCCTGAAGCTAAAGGAAAATAATATAAGCGCGTACCAGCAACTGTTATCCATTCCGGTTTATGTTTCTTGTGCTTTTTCCCCATATCTCCGGTAATAGAGCTTAAGCTTAAATGTTTACTTTCGTTTTACGTCCAGTGTTAGCTGGCTACTTGAAGCGAGCTAATGTTAGCCAAAAGAAGAAGAAGAAAAAGAAGAAGAAGAAGAAGAAGAACGAGGAGGCGGAAGTAAATCGTCGCAACACAGTATTACTTCCGGTGTTAAAATCAAGCGCGCTGTGTTTAATTTTCGGCGTATTTTCACTTTGATGATAGTTTTTTTAGAAATTAAAAACGACTTCAACATCAGCTCGAAAACAAAGAGGTTCTTAAATGTGTTTTGAATATTTGTCGTTTTAGTATACTGGTTTTTTGTGCGCTTTAGCTAGCATTAGCTTCGTTAGTGAACGGATAGCCAACTCAAGTTATAAACGTTCCTGTAGAAAACTTAGTTCTTGAAGGGTTGTAATTTTTAAACGTCTGCACATGAATCTGGATTAAGCTGGTTTTTGGAGCTTTGTACAAATGGAAGGTGACATAATGGAGGTGGCACCCATACAGAGCATCCACGTAGAGGTCCACGTTAAATCTTTGAGGTAAGTATTAATAGTTGAGTCTTTAACACATAAGTGGTGCTAAAGATGCTCAACTGAAACATCCCAGTATTTCCTAGGATACCTTCTTTGGTTATCTCTACACGTTTGGTTCACTTCCTCATTTTACCATTTATCTGATCTCTGACACTCATTCATTCCCCCTTAACAGTTAAAATACATTTCACTTATTTTCATGCCTTTAAACAAATAGGAAAAACTAGTTAATATATGCAAATCTATGTAAAACGTTAAAGAAATTTTGATGGACACTAAATGACTTTCATGCCCACATTTGATGTACATCATCAGTGGCAGAGATCCTGGAGCTCATGAATACAATGAAATATTTTTGCTCATTCTGTGCATCTGCAAGTTTGATGTATCTGATTTTGTTCTTCAGTTTCTTCACCATGCTTATCTCTATCTGCTCCACCTTCACTATATGCAACATTTCCCAAATATTGGCCCTTCTTAGCCTACCCTTGCATTTGGTGTATTTCAAAACAATACATAAAAAATATATAGCTATTAAAATTAAGATTTGATTTCATGCCATTGGAGGAAAGGAACCTGCAAATTATTCCTGAGGGTGTTTCATTATTTCTGGCCTTGTAGGTTTAGAGAGGTTTTTTGGTGCATTAAGCCCATTTGTCCAGTAGATGGCAGTGTATAAAACAGCACCGATTATGATGGGTTTATAAATGGAAATAAGAATAACCATATTGCAGCTGTGATTGATATCTAACATGCTGGCCACTATGTTTGATAGGGCTTAATCACAATAAGGCCATCTGCTTTCTGGAAAAGTTATAACTGCCTATTGGTGTCTGAAATATCCAATACATTCTGTCCACTGGTGACAAGATCAAGACTTCGTATTTTTATCCCAAAAAATCACACATCACAAAAAAGTCAAGGAAAATATTCAAAAAGGAAGCGGATGAATTAAACTTTTATAAATACATACAAAGGAAAAAATAAAATAAAGACTCCAAATATTTGAGGTTGCAGTTATACTAATTTTTCCAAAAGAAAATCCTATTATTGTCCCACAGTAATTGTGAGAAATTGTGGTTTATTAGTATTCTTATTAAGGATGTGTGAGTCTGTTAAACCCCAATATTACCTGCCTTTGGTGTGTCAGAACTAATGTTTCCCAAAGTAGTAGTTTAACTCATAACTCATAGTTTCTCTGTCCGAATATACACTTATCATCTTCATTATGTACGTGGCAAAGATTTGGGAATGGAATGAGAACGGTCTCCTTGATCTAAATACAAAGTGTAATATTTTTATAAGACCGGAACCATGGATGTCTCCTCATTTGCACACGTGTATCATGTAATGTTGTGATTATGTGGCATAGTAGGGTTAAATAAAATGCTTCTCTAACTGTGATTCGGGGCCACTTCATGAGATGTGAGCCCGCGCTACCTTCTGTAGCTATTGCTGCAACTAACCATTTTTTGGAAGTTGATTAATCTGTCAATTATTTTTTCAAATAATCGGATAGCCTAAGATTATGGAGGACCAACTCTGCCATATTTAAAAATAAATACATAAATAAATAAATGCTCAATAAATATATAAGCATACAATTAATTGCCAACAAAAATACAATAAACAAATAAATGTAAGTAGAAATTAAATTATAAAGTGAGACATAAATGTATATACGGTAACTCGTGTGTGAAGTGTGTTGGTTAGCATTTTACTACATCGGTCGAATTTCATTCCTCATTTCTTTTTCAGCACAGCTAAACTCTCTGAGGTGAAGATGCACATCCAGGCACTGCTGAATCGCCACAGTATGGTGTTTGGAAACTACAGATGGACTGAATTTGATGATGAATTTCTTTATAAGCACGTGGAATCTGTGGCCATTGTTGATTTTGAGGAAATAATTACACAGGTTTGTTTTCTGAGTAATTTTTTTGTGTTTTTTTTTTATGCTGCAGTTTTTTTCTTTAAAAAGAATAAAGCTGGAAGGTTTTGTTTAAACATGTAAGTGTTGCTTTATCTTCAGCCCCTGGATTTAAAGAACTGTGACGTCTCCATTCACATTTTCACCCTGAACGAGGAAGGGCCCAGCATGCTCAGTTTGGAGGAGGATGAGGAACTCTCTGCTGCTAATCATTGGCTGCTGCCAGCAGGTGCAGAACTGTTACTTTAAAAAAAAAAAAACAAAAAAAACATATGTATGCCCTAGTGGTTAGGGCATAGAACTTGGAAACCCTGAGGTTCTGAGTTTGAGCCCCACTCCCACAAACTGCCACTCTGGGTCTCTGAACAAAAGACCCTTAACCCCACACTGCTCCTCAGGTGCCGCACAATGGCAGCCCAGTGCTCTCCAAGGGGATGGGTTAAATGCAGAGGTTAATTTCTCCAATGTGAGATCAACAAAGTTCAGTTATTGTTATTATTATTCTCTCGTTGATTTCTCAATGAAAGGCCCGCAGCATTACGGGTCCTTTACCATACTTAACAGTGGGCATGACAAGGTGCTCTCTCTTTTTTTCCTATTTCCATTCTTCATGTCATGTCAGAGCATCCCTGAGCACAGTTTCAACCGACCAAAGCAGATGGATGAAGTTCTAGTGTGTAGAAAGTATATTTTTGGACTATAGAATTAGAAAACCTTAAGCCTGCAGTCATTTTCCTCAGTCATGTCACTGTCTGTCCTTTCCATGGTGAAGGAAGGATCAGATACATTTATACCCCTGAACGACTAGGCACACATACATTTTGTTACCTGCTAATGTGATTTTTTTTCTCACTTAATAATGTATACATTATTCACTTTAATATTTAATCATTATAAGGAGTTTTACACATATCCCAGAAATCCCACTTTGTATACGCAGTCCTGTCAAGCTTTGGATATTCAAGGTTTAAAGTGGAGTAATCAATGTAAGAAGGAAAGTATAGTGTTTTCTTTTAATCACCCTTGAACTTAAAGAGAAAATATCTTGGTGTTTAAGCTTAAAACCTGTTTTCATGATTGCAGTAATGTTTATTTTCTTGGAAGGGTTTACCTGTGTTTTATCATTAAGGATTGATCATATCTAAATATTCCTTCATATTGATCTGTGTCTCAACAGCTGAGTTCCATGGGATCTGGGAAAGCCTTGTATACGAAACAGGAGTGAAAACCAGGGTAAAGTCAACAATCTGATTTGTGAATTGAGAAAACCACAGCTACTCTGCCTTAACATCTTAATTCTGATGTATTTCTTCAGCTCCTCGATTACGTCACAACAACCATTTACTTCTCAGATAAAAACGTCGATAGCAACCTGATTTCCTGGAACCGGGTTGTGCTTCTCCATGGTAAATACTTCAACATCCTACTGACTGAAACTGCTGGATCGCTCTGATTTACCTCTCTGTCTGTAAACACATTCAGGACCTCCAGGCACAGGGAAAACATCGCTCTGCAAAGCTCTTGCCCAGAAACTGTCAATCAGGCTGTCAAGTCGGTAAGACAGCTTCCATCCTAGTGAAACAATGACTTTGACTGTGGCCTCAGCTCTTCTATTCATTTCACAATACCCTCCATGCCCTGCAGGTATTCCTATGGCCAATTTGTGGAGATAAACAGTCACAGTTTGTTCTCGAAATGGTTCTCAGAGGTACACCTGGCTTCTTTGTTGGAACATTTGTTAACCCGAAGGGTATTTGAAACCGGATTCCCTTTTCTCTCCACTAATTCGCGGTCTTTGTTTTAGAGCGGTAAGCTGGTCACAAAGATGTTTCAGAAAATCCAACAACTGATCGACGACAAAGAGGCTCTTGTGTTTGTTTTGATCGATGAGGTATAATCTGTTTCATGAGAAATTACCTAAAGTTAAAATCTGTTCAGGTTGCTTCTATTTTAACCTTAAAACATCAAAGAGTAACAACAGATGTTTTTCTTTTCTTTCTGTGAACCTGTTACGGGATGAATTTCATGATGAAGGTGGAGAGTCTGACAGCAGCCAGGACCGCCTGTCAGGCAGGAACGGAGCCATCTGATGCCATCCGAGTGGTCAACTCCGTTCTCACGCAGCTGGATCAGATCAAACGGTCAAAACTGTGTTTTGAAACATTTAACCAATAAAGCTGTCTTTCATTTAACCTGACCTCTCTGTGTTTACTCCCAAAATTGACTTTGTAGGTTGATTTTTTTTTTATCTATTTATTTCTCCCCCAGGCATCCAAATGTGGTCATCCTAACGACCTCCAACGTGACAGAGAAGATTGACTTGGCGTTTGTGGACAGAGCCGACATCAAACAATACATCGGACCTCCGTCAGAGAAGGGCATCTATAACATCTATCTGTCTTGTTTGGAGGAGTTGATGAAGGTGATCGAGCAAAGGGAACATATTTTTTAAGCTAACAAATAATGTATTTTAAATTCTGTTGTGTTATAGATGACATAAAGTAGCGCATTATTCACAGCTGGACGGTAAATGGTCTGTGCTGTACAACACCCATCCATCCATCCGTCCATTTTTTGTGACGCTTATCCCAAGTGGGGTCACGAAGGGTTTCAGAGAAAAGGCAATAAAAATACATGTTGCTTCTTTTATAAAATTTTATTGGCCATATATATTCATATAAATAGATTTTTTTAGCCTGCAAAGTAGACAAAATCAAGTTTAAATGGCAAATCACACATTCTGTGGAACACAAGCAGTGATTTTCAGTGTATTGTAAACAACACTGTTGCAGAAGCAACTCAAGTTGAACTCAAATTATTCTTAAAAATGTCTGTTCCCTCTGATCTCTCCAGTGCCAGATCATCTACCCCAGGCAGCAGCTTTTCACCATGTTCGAGCTGGAAACCATGGGCTTCACTCAGACCGAGATGGCTGAGTACAGTCTGAAACTGAAGAACATTGCTGCGTGAGTACCAAATCTAGTTGAAGCAGGAATTGAATCACCTCCTCCACTTGTCATAACATTAACTCAAACAGCCAGAAGCTCATGTTTTGCCTCTTTTTCCAGAAAAAGCAAAGGTCTGAGTGGAAGGGCGCTCAGGAAATTACCCTTTCTAGCCCACGCCCTCTTTGTGAAGGTAAGCATTACATTAGTTGCTTTGCAGAAAATGAATGAAGAATATTGTTTTAAAAAAATATGTTTGTGTGCAGACACCAACAGTAACTCTTGAAAGGTTCCTGGAGGCGATGTGCCGAACAGTGGATAAACAGAAGGAGGAGAAGGATGATCTAATCAATAGTGTTTAAAACCATCCATGTCTAAGAGCTGAAACATGAATCTTCAAAAGCTGTCCATCTTTTGTTTTGTTTTTTTAAATCTTTGGTTCAGTTGGCTATGCATCATTTAATCTGTCATCTAATATATTCCCAACCAATCCCATTTGTCTCTTAATTCTACTTATTATTGTAACGTTGCGCTAACATCCTAAAGTAAAGTGTACAAGCACAGGACTTGCCATATGAGATGTTCTTCCATCCATGTTTTGCTTTGTTCCACTCCCACTGTTGGATGTTTTTTTTAACGGTAAAAGATAGCTTTAACCTTAACAGCCCTAGCCGTTGATTTGTGCTTAAAGCTGGAGCTCAGACTGTCCTGCTGCTGTCATAAAGTTATTCATCCTGTTGCTAAGGTGGAACTAGGCATGGGGCAGTAGATTGTTTTTTTTTTTTTTTTCATTTAAATGCAAATGTTTGGAGAAACAGCCCTGCAGCTGATACAATGTGACATCTTAAGACTCTGTGTTTTGTTTGTGCATTTAGATTTATATCCAAATACATTTTGGGTGGAGTTCTTTCTGCCCATTTAAATACTAATGTTCAACAAGAAGTGGGGGAGGGGTTACATTACTCTATGCTTGATACAGCTGGAGAAAGTTGCAATCAGTTTGACATATCAATAAAAGTTTGAGCTGTAGTAAGGATGTGATTAGAAATATTGATTTTAAAACCCATTTTTAAAAAGCTCTGTAACCGGCTCATGACAGGGTAAGGTTCTCATTTAGCAGTTACTTGTTGGATATCAAACACAGTGTTCATGATTAAATTTGTCATGGAGGGGTCAGTTTGTTTTTTGTTCTGTTTACTCCATTGATGTCACTGAGCTGGCTGCTGTCATATTTATGCATAGCATCCCTTTACCTAGAATAACCATTTTACCCAAGTTATGTTTGCTTAATAACTACTAATGGATTGTATTTTAATTGTTTTCCTTAGGATGTATCTTCTTCATAAGAAGTGTGTTTTGCTGTTTTGTATTCAAGTTGTCTCTGAAATATCTCAATGTTTGACACATTTTTTTATTTTTCTTTTGTGAGTAATAAACTATATTGTTTACACTTTAGTGTGCAAGATGTTGAAGACCTAGAAGTTGCCACTTGGTGCAAAGATACTGCTGTATAATTCTACACAGGAAAATACATTTATTTATATATACATACACGTGACACACACAAAACTGATAACTCTTTTAAATGAAAGAAAAACCCATAGTGGTCAAAAAAATAACTTGAACCTAACAAAGTGAGAAATACAAATTCTAGGAAAAAGAATGTTTCAATGGAATGATTTTGGAAAGTAAATCCATGAAAGGCCTGGACAAAAATGATGATACCCTAGTAGGGTTGTCACGATACTAAACTTTTCAACTCGATACCGATACTAAGTAAAATATTCGATACCACAAGAATGAAAAACAAAGACTAAAATTCAACAGAAATATTTTCATTACTAAAAAAATACAAGAAATAAATAAAAAAACAATAAGAATAATATTTTGAGGTTGTATGCTGTGCACAATATTAAGCAAGCTTGATAAAAAAAACTTGCAAAATTAAAATCAAGTGTTCCTTCCTTGGCTATGTTTTGCAGACATAATGACATTGGCCAAACCAGTTAAACAAAAATAATTCTCAGCAGCTGCACCTGTTACAAAAAAAGTCTGAAACTGAAAAATGCACAGAATTATTCAATCACACAGTGTTCAGAAAGTGCATTTTCCACTATTCTGCACTTTAGATGGCTGTATCGATACTTTTGAAAATGAGTATTGTATCTGGATACGCTTTAGTATCGATACTTTTTTGAGTATCGATACTTTTGACAACCCTATACCCTAAAAAAGACTGAAAACTAATGCATCTTTAATCAAGGTCAGTCCACTGATTAGCATCATCAGTGTATACAATCTTGCAATGACTCACTGAGCCTGTACTGTATATATTGCTACAGGTTGTCATTGTGCTGGTGGGTGGCATGGTGTGTACCACACTCAACTTGGACCAGAGGAAAGGCATGAAAGTTGTCTCAGGAGATATGAAGAAAAATATATAAGACCATCTCTAAGCCAGCTTGTTCCTGTGACTGAATTTGCTCATATTCAGAAAACTAAGATCCACGGGACTGTTGCTAGGAGCAGGAGGAAACATGACAAATAATATGAACAGTATCAAAGACATATCGGCTCAATGTTCACAAATGGAAAAAATTCATCATATTATGAAAAAACATTGCCCCTACTGTGAAAAATTCTGTTATGTTCTGGGGCTGCTTTGCTTCATCTGGCATAGGGTGTCATAAATCTCAGCAGGGTGCAATGAAATCCCAAGACTGTCAGGGGATCGTAGAGAGAACCCTGCTGCCCAGTGCCAGAAAGCTTGGGCTCAGTTGCTGGTCATGTGATTTCAACAGGATAATGATCCAAAACACAGAGTTAAAAACATCCAAGAATGGCTACAAGGAAAGCATTGGACTATCATGAAGTGGCCTTCTATGAACCCCGAAGGAGCTTAAAAATGCTTGTTTGAAGGACCATCTTCCTGATTTAATGGTGTGTCTGATGCTCATCCTTTGCACTAAGCTAATAGTCTGTGGATACAGGATTTTGGGTGGAATCCATCATGCATGGTGGGTAGTGTTAGTGTTTTTACATCAGTGGCTTGAATTTCTCAGGCCAATTCCTTAGGCCAACATATTATTCCAAAATGATATCACTGTCATAGGAGGAAAAAAACTGCATGGGATGTACCACTAACAAATAGCTGAAATTGCTGATATGACCAGATCCTTTGGCTAAAGAGGAGCGGGCTGAAGGATAGCACTGGAGCAGGCCTTGAGCACCAGAGCAATAAAGGCCCAGGTCTACCATACCGAGCAAGATCCCTGGTGCAGGTCATGCAAAAAGGCCCCAAACACAATCTGGCAATTCACAACAGGATGGAAGAATTTCGCAGAAAAAGAAAAAAACATGAAACATAACCAAATGGCTGGACAGAACACAGTTTGAAGATCCCCATGTCAAAATGGGAGCCACCTGCCAAGCTGGTGGAAGATGACAGAGCTGAGGTCCTGTGGGACTTCCAGATACAAACAGACAAACCCTATGTGTCTGATTCCTTCTGGTTGTTTGCAAATTTAATTTTTGGAGCTGGAAACTGTAAACTGCTTCTTATGAAGCAGCAACATTAGTCCTTCATGAGTGGTTCTCAGATAAGCTGTACCTGGAAAGTGTTTAAAAAATGTGTGCAATTTGAGTTAACATGAGAATATCAGAGGCCCCATTGTGTGCATGAAGCTGATTTGCATTCTGGAAATGCTCTGCTGCCTTGCATGTCAGTTGCAGGTTTTGTGACAATGTGTCTTTTGTTTTTGTTTTTTTGGCAACTCTCATTCATTCCACTTCAAAGCTGGATCTTGTGGTGTATTCATAATAGAAAAGGAAAGCAAACATTAAATTTGTCTGCAGTCACACCCTGTAGCTGCAGTCTTATCAATGGCATCTTGTTGAAATACTTCTCTCAGGTGTTTTACAGGTTGTAAAGTGTTTTATTGCTGCATTGGATTGTACTGTCAAAACGCACGTCTTTATCATCAAAGCCAAAGATTTTTACTCTAATCACACCTTACAAATGGATTTCCCCTCTTTCTGAGAACTTGTTTCATTAGACATTTAACTTGATATATTTAATTGCTTGGGGCCCACTAATTCTATTTGTCAAATACATTTTTGTTTTTAATGTGACATGAATTAAATTGGGAAGTTTGATCAGCACGCTCAAAGTTGGGGAGAGAAAAGAGGGCAAGTGGAGTAAAGAGCAGTTGGAAGAGCCATGATAAATAAAACCATAATTGCTCTGTCTGGAGGCCATTTTTTTCTCTCTCTTTTCGTCTGTAGTGGCTCCAAAATTGAGGCAGTAGTTAAAAGGCAGTCAAGCAGGAGAAGTAACAAAAGTCAAAAGCCTCATTGTTTCAGAATTTTTATCGCAGGTTTGAAAAGTCAGAAAACCCCTAAACAAGACAAACAGTCTGGTGTTTATCCCTTCAAATCTTGTTCAGGTATTGCTGAGAGCAATGGAAAATATCTATGCATGTGCCAGTGGGGCTTTAAATGGGTGGTGGATTAACTTAAACACATACTTGAAGGTATGTTAGAGAGGAAACCGACCAGAGTTGCACACAAGCGATGGAAAGTATCACTCATTTCTCTGAGGTTTAAAGTGCGCATTATTGCTTTTAAAGCTTAAAGCCGCACCGATTCAATCAAGTTTAGAAATACCCTAAACTTTTTGCTGCTGTAATGATGCACATCCTCTGCCCAAAAACATAATGGGAACTCATAAAACTTCTAATTGTCTGGGTTTTTCCTATTCTTCATCTGTACAACAGCCTTTGATCACAAAGCAGGGTGCTTAGAACCAAAGGAGCATTGCCTCTAAAATATATATATATATATATATATATATATATATAAAAGTTTCTGTTTCCAATCATAACAGTTCTGTCTGATGCTTTCGTCTCTCATCTCTGCTGAGGTATCTGCTCTCCTTTGTGTTTGTCTGCCATTTAGGCAGGATGTTTCACGGTGAAGGAGAGAAGAGGGATGAGAGAAAGGTAACTTGTGAGGAAAGCAGAATCTCAGAGGTCGGAGCACAAAAAGAAACGGTGATAATTAGGCGCTGCAAGATGGATCAAAGGCGACTGGCATGAATGAGCTTTGCAAATATCTGCTCATCCTGTCAACTGCACACAGTTATCTGAGCAGCTCATCTTTGTTGGGACTCATGCTGCAAACAAATTGGCGGTGGGAGGTGGTTAGCATCATTCCAATTTCATTAAGGCGGGATGGTGGAATTGGGAGGCTCTCAACATACATCACTAGCATCCTGCAAAAAAATTATAATCAGAGCATCTGCATCTTCATTTCCAATGTCTTCCCAACCAAAACCTTTGAAGTTTGTCAATGCCACAAACACCTTGTGTTCATTTGGATTTAGGCTGGTAAATTGTTTTTGCAAAAGGCCCAAGCTCAGATTTAGTTTTAGCACGTCTTTGAAGTTTTGCCATCGTGATTAATAGTCAGGAGTTTGTCTTGGCTGCTCCAACCTGTGAAGATGTTTTGATCTAAACTATTGTAGCTCTGCTTGTGTCTTCAGGCGTCATTTTTTTTGTCGGATGTTAAAACCTTCTCAGTTTCAAGTCTTTTAGAGCCTCTAATGGATTTTCCCTTATAATAGCGCTGCAACATGTTGCTCCATCCCTAAACTCAAGCCAGGTTCTATTGGAGAAAAGTATCCCCAAGGCATGATGACACGACTTTGTTTTGTTTCGTCGTAGAAATGAAAGAGTGAAGTGAAGATGCAGTGGTAATTTTCCTTCATACACAGTTTCCCTGCATGGCTTGTTGAACTTTTTTCCTTCAAAGTACTTTGTAGTTTTGTAGGGTATACGACTAATAGCGGTGCTACTTATGAGGAATTCCCATAGCATGATGCTGCCACCCTCATGGTTCAACCTGATGGTGTATTTGGTAAGCTTTTCACCACTTACAGAGTTTTAGACATGGGTCAGAAGTTTCCATTTCAATGTCATCTGATTGAATACACTTTATTCCCAAATGTTTTCTGCTTTGATTTGTAGGTAAAAAATTAAAATAAAAAAACTTAATAAGAACAGGATATGATGTGAACACACATCTCACACTGAACTGAAGGGAGAGGTATTTTAATACACTGAATGCTTCCAAAGAGATAGAGCTTTGAATGGTAGATAAAACTTTACACCGCTTAGATTGTGAGCTGTGATTTTAACTGCAACGTGTTAACATAGCCAAAGAAAACAAACTATAAAACTGCAGACAGGCTTTTGATGTTTGAAGGGTTGAAGTACAACTTGTTCTTCCTGTTTTGCTTCCAATGCACTCTTTATCTGCAACATCTATGGTGCATTTATGAAGGACAGGTCCTGGTGTTTTTCACAACCAGCTTATCAGGGTGAACATGATGCAGGGGCATAGTGCCATTCTTTGCTTTATTAATCATTACTACATTCATAATTCAATCATTAACCAGCATACCATACCATCTGTATTGCATGTAAACCGATATATCCAGGATTAAAAAAGTTAAAACATAACTTTGATTCGGATTTCTAGCTTATATTTATCATTTCAAGTGGAGAAACATTAACTTTAGTGGGCAGATCATTAAAAAAGAGAAAACTTAAACTATTGGATGTGCAAAGAAATAGGCTACTACAGATTTAAAAGATGAAATGATCCAAATAAAGATATATATATATATATATATATATATATA